AGTTATATATTTTAATATATAAAAACCCATTTATACTGTGGTAATATTTATACTGGTAAGATAATAATAATAAATGTCGTATTATAAAGAGATCTAAATTAAGTAATTGTTTCCCAAATTAATGAATATTGTCATTGTACTGAAGCAAATTGTTAAAATATTATTTTTAATATTTACTTTATTAACTTGATAGCATATCTGATTAACAACTTTTTATTGCAGATCAACACAAACAATTTTTTTAACAAAGCTATATGCATGTTTATTTTTTCAAATGTTTTCTGACCTGTTTTTTTTTTTTTATATTACCTATTATCAAGTTTGGTTAATGTAAATATAAACAAAATACTTAAATTCAACATATTTTATGAGTATCCTGAGTGCACAGGTAAACTTTGACAACCCTAAAAATACATTTAATAAAATCTTTTTTTTTCTCTTTATAGATATCTCTTGAATTGAAAACCCCTTCTTATTCTTGCTGAAAAACTGTTCTAATTCTCGTAAAATCACATGCATTTGTATGAGATCACATTAATTGAGATTCAATATGGAATATTTGTACTTGTAAAACGTTTTATTTAATTATAAGCTTTTACGTGAGAAATATGCTTATATATTTCAGATTAGTTCATTCTAGAAATGATGTAATGTTAATCACTTTTAATGTATTATTTCTCCCTTACGCTCACAGTGATGATCTCTCAGATCACCCCGAGTCTGTACCTGAGTGGAGTGGAGGCCGTGAATCAGTCAGCGCTGGAGCACAGAGGCATCACTTTGCTGGTGAACGCCTGTGCTGAATACCCCTGTCCGGAGTATCAGGGGGTGAAGTGCGTTTGGGTGCCGGTGGAGGACCGTCCTCACGCCCCTCTGGAGCAGCACTTTGACAGCGTGGCTGAGCAGATCCAGCAGAACCACACTGGAAGCACTCTGGTGTTCTGCTCGGCCGGGAGAAGCAGGTCTCCGTCTCTTATCATGGCGTATCTCATGCGGTTTGAGGGACTCTCGCTGCTTCAGGCTCATCAGCGGGTTCTGGCAGCACGGCCCTTCATTCGACCAAACGCGGGCTTCTGGAGACAACTGCTTCAGTATGAGAGGAAACTGACCCACAGCAACAGCATCAGGATGGTGGCCACCTCACAGGGCGTCCTACCTGAGGCCATCCAGCTCACACAGGACTCGTCACACTGCCTTGATGTATAATTCTGGACACCCTGAACTGGATATATTTTTATAGTGTGTGTGTGTGTGTGTGTGTGTGTGTGTGTGTACACTATGTACCATGTATTTTTTTAATGACATGTTTTTGAACATGTTTAATGTTACTACTGTGGTATTCCTTGAAGTACCATCAATTATCATATTAATACTGTAATCAGTCTCTCTTTATCTCCCAGTAATATGGCATAGTAAGATGAATTTTAAATCCTTAATTTAATGATCGTAGCTCTGTAGCTACGTTTAATTATGGTAAGTAAAACATATAATTCAGTGTAATACAATGATAATTGAGTCTGTTGTAACATATTTGATGTATAGATTTTAACACATACATAAAAAATATGCATGGATAATCAAGTAAATCTACGTTGCGTCAGCCCAGTAAAAGTTCATCTTGAAATATTTATTTAAGAATATAAAATGTATTATTATGTTTAAGCTAATGAAAATCATTAAAGGTTTCACAGCCCAAAGACATGTGAACCACAACCTGAATGTGGACAGAATTATTCTAAAAGTTAGACTAAAATTATAATAAA